CAAACCGAGGGGTCGATCACGAGACTACTCTCGTGAGGATTAGGATGTCCTGCATGCGCAGATAACGTGAATGCACATTCCACCTCACATGACAGGGGCCCTAAACATTGCAGGTGATACGACAAGGAGGATAACCGCTGGGAATGTCCGAGTTGCAAGAAGAACTACGGCCATAATAAGCCCGGTCACCCACGGACACTTGGCAAAGTTTACCTAACCTTGGAAGCTGCCCGACAGCCATGGACAGGTGCCACAAGATACTGTCGAACCGGCAGCATCACCACCCGAGCCACAGGCCGCGCCGCCACTGGCGCGGCTACGAGCACCGAGACCTGGCTCCAGGGCTGGCCCCACAGCTGGCGCCAGCAGCCACGACAGTACAGTAGGCAGACATGCTGCTGAACCTGCTGCGGGGCAACCTGCCTCGAGCGGAGCTGGTAGCTCGGACGACCATAGAAGACTGCCACAGATCAGAGCCAGACGTGGCCGACAGCAGGGAGGAGATCCACCTCCTCCACCACCTGCGGGTAACCCTGCTGCACGCCCACGACTCCCAGACTGGTCAAGGTTCGATGTCCAAATCAGCTTACAGAACTTACGAGGCCTTGACCCAAGCGTGGTAGCAGGCGAATTGTGGAAACTACACTTGCGATGGTTCTATGCTAAAGACCCTAAGACGAGACTCACCTGAACCAAAGCTGGCCTGGAGAGCGTCAGGCTCAACCTGATCAAAGGCGTCTGCGACTCATGTCGGTGGTGCAGGGCTTGGGATAAACCAGGGCATACCGCTATGCCATCTACGACCTGGCAAGTTCAACGACGACGAAGTCGAATGCGACCTTATGTTCTACAAACAGGAACATCATATATTCCACAGCGTTGTTCGTTGTTTTCGATATCCTATTGGAATGGGAGTACCAGATAGAACAATGACCAGTAACTTAGATGCGTATCATCAGTGCTGGATGCAGTTCGGACCTGCTAAGGTATTCTACTCTGATGGGGAGGGTGCCCTCAATAACGACACTGCATAGGCGGTCCTCAAGGCAGGGGGCACTGAGCTGAGGATACGCGCGTGTGGACATCACGCTACGACAATTGAAGCCAGACATGGCACATTACGCCATCTACTTCATGTCATGGAAACTGAACTCAAAAGGTAGACATACCTCTTGTGTTCACACGACTACTGCACGAAGCCCTTTTTACCGCCAATGCTTTCACCTTTTACAATGAAGCCTCTCCATATAACCCTTTGTTTGGACGGCAACCGGCAATGCTTCCTGACCTGCCTGTTCTGGATCACGAACAGCCAACAGAGACGTCTGACCATTCCCGAGAACAGGCGACACGCAGGGCATGCATTGAAGCTGTCACAGAGGCTACTGCAGTAGCCAAGACCAATCGTGCACTACGTACTAAGACAACTATCGCCGGTCAGCATGATTATGATGAAGGAGATTTGGTTGACCATCATCGCCCCGCAACTGCGAAGGACGACTGGTGAGGCTGGAATGGCCCTGTCCCAGTTGTACGAAATGATCCCGGCAGGGGTCAAGTCATCATCCGAGTGGGAAACCGCGATGTACAAGTCCTATATGGCGACGCACGACATTCACTGTACATCGAAGCTTTGATAGCCAGAGAGATTGGCTCTGACAAAACTGCGTCGCGGACAGCGTTGACAGTTGTTGCCGGTCTCCCTGCGGGGAGACTTGCTATGACATGTGGCTATGTCCCGACCAAAATGGGAACGCTTCAGATGACCAGCGCAAGCCGATTATCTCACAAAGTACATCTGGCGCTACAACACCTCATCAGAAACTTCTTCCGCATCGAGAATGTAGTTTCTGTTGTATCCATAAGCTACCTCCGGTGGCTTATGCTGACAGTTGCACATTGGTTCATTATGACAAAGATGTAAGTCCAGGTTTCCACGGCTATGAAGCAGAAGGCATTGCCCTAACTAGTCATTATATAACAGGATCAGCACATGCCAGAGTCATTCAGTGCCTAAAGTCCACTAAACCTCCAGCGGGCTTCGACCCAGATATGACATGAGGAGCTGGCGGAGATACCGACACAAGACGAGAACGCCAGAGATGCCCCAGAAGCCGAACCACCACAGGAGGATGAACGACAACCTACGATCTACGGGGAATCAGAAGCGGAACTTGAGGCAAATATTATGGAAGCGTGGTGCACGGAATTACATGATGAAGGGGAACGATTGGAGGCAACTCCATCATATGACCTTTGCACTGTACCCGCACATATGATATCCGACGACAGCGCGCTGGTCCTTGCGGCTGAAGAACAGCGGGGGCACCTGTCTAAGTGGGGTTTTCACGCGACTCCGACATCGAGGAGACGGGTCATGTCCAACTATGTTCTACGGTCGAAGACCACAGTTATGGATTGGATTCGGACGAAAATGGTCAATATGTATAGTTTGCCGCATTGCAGAAATGTCACAGGTAGTCCTATCGCCAAAGGTAGTCCTACCCGAACGACATCGTAGTATATATATATATATATATATATATATATATATATATATATATATATATATATATATATTTAGATGTCGACCGTGTAACCACCATGCGAGTATGTGTCATCGCCGCTGCAAAACGAGCTGCGGTTGTCAAGGAAGACGACCTCCTTGCGAATCCGCGCGAAGGCCGACATTCAGGCGAATCCCGAGAGGGTATCAAAAGCCCTATAAACTGAGTTCAAGACATGCTTTGAAAACAGGTGTTTCAAGATGCAATATAAATTTTAAGCGTCAAACATCATGACTTCGAGGCACGCATATAAGTGGAAGTTCGTGAAGAACGAAAATAGCGAGATGGAGCGTGCCATCGGACTACTGCCCGGCACTGCGGGCATTCATTGACCTCGAGGCTTTCGACGTGGAAACAGCCTCAGGAACAGCGCGGCGGACAAGCCAGATATTATTCGCAAGCGCGGCAGCGTTCAAGGAGCAGTGGATCATTGCTTCCCTCGACATCAACGCGGCTTTCCTGGAAGGGGTTACGTGGCGTGCTTTACCCTGCCTCCTGGATCGGCAACGGTGCTTCGATCCCTCCCAGGACTCGAGCGCTACGACGAGTCGAAACACGGCCTGCAGCGCCTCGAGCCAGGCACCGGCGCCAAGGATGCACCCAGAGCTTTCTCACTGAAGCTCAGAAGGACCACGAGAGGCTTCGCCCTCAGGCCCGCGCCCTACGACGAGTAGTTCGAGACGATCAGCAATCTGCTCACAGCCAAACATATTGACGATATTACGATGGCCGGCACTGAGGACACCATTGACACGCGCGCCAAGTGCGTCGAGGACACTTTCGGCAAGTGCAAACTCAACGAACATACATATACCAAGGGTGCTGTGAGGTACACAAAAGACGGGGGCGGCAATGTTACACTGGACCAAAATGAATACATCAAACAACCCCGTCCTATACAACATCCTGAACTCACAGCCGCAGACGCCGACGCCAAAGCATCCAAGATGGTTGCTGACATGTTCGTCAGCCTTAGAGGCGCATTGGCTTACGCCTTAATCGCGCAAGTGTGGTTGATGGTATATGTGGTCTCTCTACAACGTGTCCTAGAACCGACCAACATACAAGTTCGACAACTGAATGCGATTTCCAGACAGCTGCAGGCCTGCCCTAAGAAGATCATCGATCAATCGATGACTCTAACGGGCGAAGTTGACCTGCACACCGACTCCGGCTATCGACGCCTGAGTGGAGACGCCGATGAGGAGGTCAAAGGCTACGGCACTCGCGGGGCAAACCTGCTACGGCGCGGAAACACGCCATCCGGCAAGCCCGTCGTCCACTTGATCGATGCGCACTGCAAGTCTCACCGCTCGCAGGTCCGCTTAGGCCGCTCAGCAGAAACACTTGCAGCAGCCCACAACCTGAAGGACTGCTACCCCACGGGCGTGACTCTTCACGAGCTCCATGCAGGTCCACTGACACCCACTCTGTTGAAAGATATACTGGAGTTGGGTGGCCTGAGCATCAAAGTCAGTGTGTAGATGCCGAATATGCTTCAAGTCCTTGCGAAGCAAAGACCTGAAGAAGCCGACTGAACGTACGCTGTTGGGACACATCAGTTGGACACGACAGTTGATGGAGCGAGGAATCGTGCATAGTATTCACTGGTGTGACACTCGCGTTATGACCGCGGACGGTCACACAAAAGGGAGCATCGATATAAAGATGCTCCTACAGGTCATGGGAGGCACGCAATCCTTCACGCATGATTTAAAACGTCATACTCTTTATCGGGCTGGCCGGACAACTTCGTCTGAGGCCACCTGAGGAGTAATCGCGTGCACAGCAATGCGCTTGCAAGGTAACTTGCGTACGGGCCCACCTTCTTTTTGGACCCGCCTCTTGCTGCTTTGTTGTACATAGCGTTTGCTGTATAGGGCCTAAGGGCGGCGGACTCACGCCTCCTCTCCCTCCCCCCGACTCTAAAGTGAGCTGGGACAAGGGCGAGAGATAGCGAGCGTTTGTCCGCGGCCGTTTGTGTTCAAGCGGCCGGCCGCCAATATATGATTGCGCCTCATTGCGAGGCATACTATTCGCCATCGATGCCGAAAACATCTTTCGCTTGAGATGACCCGTCGCTCCTGCGGCGACCTCCTACGACTGGGACGATCGCTACCACGACACAACAGAGCAGGAGCTGTGCTTCGCCTAAGGCGTAGCTTCTGGACGGGCCTACCTGCCCCCTTCACACTGGTTTCTCATGGGTGCCCTCTCATGGGACGGGTTGTTCATTAAGAGGGAGCAGTAATCACTCATTCCCCGAAAAGGAGGAAAGGGGGATGGATGAGGAAACGCCCTAAACTACTCACGCCAGAAAGGGCTGGTGGCATTCCACTTCGGGCGGGACTATGTTGTTAAAGGGCGGCCTCTTTGAAAACGATGTATGCGAAGTGCCTGGCCCTAGCTGTTTTTTTGGCGGTCGCGCGCAAGGTTGGAAGAGAGGCGGTACTCGAACGCCGCCACGGTGGCCGCAGGCGCCCCGAAGGGGCGCCAGGCTCCTGGGGACCGGGCAGTTTTGGGCCCGCGGGCAGCGCGCGAGCACGACCGCTGGAACCCCTGGGTTCCCCACGGTGGCGCGAAGCATTGGAGGCGTGGTTCGCCGCCCGCACATGTGGCGTTCCAGAAAGGACCTCGCAGTTCGAGCATTGGAGGAGTTGGCATGTCTCCTTGGCGGAAGCCTGCGGAAGTAAACGAGGGCGTTCCCGCCTGCGGAAGGCTGGCGGAAGGAAAAATCGGCCCTTCAAGAGATGGCAAGGATTTTGGGCTCAGGGTTTTCGGAATCCGCCACATGTCCGTGACAGCTTCGGGGCCGTACCTTGAGATGCGGCAGAAAGACATCCGCAGCCCACGGCTGCCCATGCGTGCGTGGGGCCTCCAGAAATTGTGGATGTGGATGTCGGTCGGGGCGCGGGCGGTGTGCGAGTATAACTGCTCATCTGCCCACCCCCCTCGGGGGGGTGGCAAACGCTCGATAGGAGGTGTGCGGGGGAAGGAGGAAAGGAGGTCAGGAAGGAAGGAAGAAAGAAGAAAGAGAGGAGCAGGAGAAAGCGGAAGAGGCGGACAAGGAGGAGGACGAGGAGGAAGATGGGGAGGAGGAGGGAGGAAGGGATAAAGGAAGCAGGAAGGGAGGGAGGGAGGAGGAAAAAGGGGAAGGAGGAGGAGAGGGAGGGGGAGAAATGGAGGGAGGGAGCAAGATTGTGGACAGGTGTGCGAGGAACGGAAGCAGAGGGGAGGATCTCTTAGCCGTTGTTGATAATGGGGGGGCGAAGCGGGCTTCCTCCTCGTCGAGGCCTGGTCCGGTTACAGGGGGACGACATCTTGAGGCGCTGCCACGGTTGACTATGAGCATATTGTTTTTGAGGGGCTTGCAGACTCGGCGTCATCCCGAACTGTCAGTCGATTAAGATAACACTGACGTGTGTGCGGTCGGCATGGTTTGGGGCCAGTTGTGCACCGATTATGGCCAAACACTTCGCTCGTTTCCGAGAACGGCGCCAGCGTCAAGAGTTGATGTCCACGTGCAGATGCATGCTTGGGTCCTGAGGTGCATGTGGGCTCAACATGCCGCAGGTGGGGAAGCTTCAAATTGGGGTGATTGCCCTTGACTTGGCGGCACCTCCGATGATGCCCCTCATTCGCTTGAGGGGACCGGAGAGCATCTCGGGTCCATCCCACTCCGTGCTACAACGCAAGACCTTCGCGCACGGGGCCTCCTGTCCCACATCTTCTTCCCTCCCTCCTCCTCCATATCCCCTCCACATCCACATCCTCCTCATCCGTCCCATCCTCCTCATCATCATCTCCTCTCTCCTTCTCCCACTCCCCCTCCTCCACCATCCTCCCGTTCCTGGCATTTCAGCAGGGCGAGATTTTGTCGAACACACCCTGTTGGTATTGCTGCGGGCTGGCTTGTCCAGGACCGTCAGGCTTGACGGCTCGCGGGGGGGGGCAGAGGAGGCAGTAGATGACGGCAAGTCAACAGACACGAACACACACAGACACACACACACACACACACACACACGTGCGCGCACACGCACACACACACACACACACACACACACACACACACGCGCGCGTGCATGTATGTATGTTCAACGAAGATTGTGTGTTTCTCTTTCTCCTCCTCCTCCTCCTCCTCCTTCTCCTCCTCTCCCTCCTCCCTCTCTCCTCTCCCTCCCTCCCTCCCACCCTCCTTCTTCCTCCCCCGCCTTCTCTGCTCGATATCTTCTCCTCTCAGAGAGCAGGTCGAAGTCTCTCGTCGCCACCCGCCCTCCCCGGGCTCCTCGGCCTCGGCGGCGTGAGCTGGGCCAAGCGGCGGTCGGGCCGACGAGGAGCTGCAGCCTCCCGTCTTTCTTCTCTCCACTCCGAGGCGCCCCTGGCAGCCTCCTGTCCCGGGGGGGCGGGGGGGAGGGAGGAGAAAAAGGGGAGGGGGAGAGAAAGAGGAGGAGGGGGAGGACGAGGAGAAGGACGAAAGGAAAATAAGGATGAAAATGTTCTGTTTCGGGACGGCGCCCATCGAAGAACATAAATTGTGCATGAAGCTGAGGTCCGTGTTGATTTTTGATTCGGAGCTGCCCTCCCCTGGCAGCGCCTCTGGCGCCGCCCCATCTTTCGTCCTTTTGTGTCGTCGCTGTAGTTGTATGCATTTTTGTAATTCGAGGTGCCCAGTACTTAGCCTACTGGGGGGGAGGGGGCAGCAACACTTGGGCGATAGTTCAGCCTTCTCCTCTCCTTGGTCCCCCTCCTCCTCGCCCTCCCCCTGGATTGCCCCACCAGCTTCTATTAGGAAGGTGGCGGTCGCAGGCCCGTGCGGAAAAAGAGGCACAGCAGACGGTTCGGGCTGAGAGATCGCACTCCCAGCAGGTGCACGTACAGGTCGTCCGCGCGGCGCGACGACAGTGCCTTCGCGTTTCATGGCCTTGGCCGGAGAGTCGCTTTTCACCAGCGGGGGGCGCCTAAGCGCGATAATCTTCGCGTCGCATTCATCTCAGGGACAACGTTACGGGGCGGATAGGCTCAGGGAGGACGCATCGACTGCCAACTGCCCATTCATCGCAAGCAGGGGCCCGAGAGCCCACCCCCCCCCAGGAACTTGCGCATTCGTAATCGGTGGTGCGTTTCCAATACATCGGCGATGTACCTCCGATTCCACCTCGATGTTCCCCTCCCTGAGCCAGTAGTCCCCCCTTTCGTTGCCCCTCAGTACCGCGCGGCGCGATTCGCAAAGCTGGGTGACCAGGTACACGCCTGGACACCGGATCGAAGAGCGCCCGAAGGTACTCCCAGTATTGGTGCCCGAAGATGTGCCCGAATCTTCTCCCCCAAGGATCTCTCACCGCTGGCACTGCCTTCCCTTGGCGCTTGGAGAAGGAAGGAGGAAGACGAGGACACACACACACAAACAATAAGCATCGCATGATCAAGATCGTTCCCCGATTATGTTCTGAACCATTTGGATTGTATATGCGGCTCCGCAATCGAAGGCTGTCGTGCTGCCCTTGCTGCTGCGGCTGTTGAGATAAGTGTTGTTGGACGTGCAGATTGAGTGGGCTGCGCGGGCCCGTATCCCTGCTTGGCGGCATTACTCCTTAAAGATGGGGGCACCTGGGCAGGCAGGCTGCTTGTACGTATCCAGGTGCCTGCGGCACATTCCGCCACCGACCGTACCACGGACAGGAATCTCGGGGGGGGGAGGGGGCGGTGCACGCGACGGGGTGCTACCAAGAGGGGGGCTTTAGAAGACATACAGCAACCCGACCAGGCAGCACCTGTCATTTTCACACGCCCACAGCACGCAGGCACGGGAGCATATTCATAGCGAGAAGAGGTTGTATGGGAGGAGGAGCGGGGTTGGGGAGGCCCGAAAGTATGATGGGAGTTAAACAGTAAAGTTGTTGGTCCGATATTCGAGTTCGGTGTCGTCCTGATTGTATTGTTGCTGGCTGATGTCGCTGCGCGTCGCCCGCTGTCGGTGCGGCATCTGCGCGTCCGATCGGAATAACAGTCTCGTGCCGCAGCGCAGGTGCCCAGCTCACAACAGACCGACCTGAGACGAGAGGCCGCGATCCTGCGGGTGGAGTCGAGGGGTCGGGAAGCCCACGTCATCAGAACCACCCAGAAAACGTTTTTCTCGCAATCAATCGTGGCTGCGTCCAGAGAGGAGGGGCCATCGTGCCTTCGTGGCCATTGCGACGAGAATTGGATGAGCCAACGTTGGAGGAGAAATTGTACCTTGCCGGGCTTTGAGGTGAGATCGGATGCTGCGCCCGTGTGGCGCCAGAGTGGCAGGACGGCCAGGTCAGACCTGAACTCTTATGAGATGCGGGAATTCGAACGGAAACCGTATCGAAAAGCTACCCATGCCCATGTCGAATGCCCGGCTGATCAAGACACCGGCCGAGAAGACACTGCTGGGACGCAGTCGTTGGCTAAGAAAATTCTCGGATTTCGGCACCATCAACAAAGCGCAGTGGTGCAACAGCCGCCACAAGACGGCGAATGTCCACACCAAGGGTGTTATCGACCGTGACTTGCTCCTGCATCCTGCAGGTTACGGCCGGCAAGTAGGTTTACACGCACGAAGTCAATTCATATGCACCGTATCGAGGCAACAAAGGTTCCATCACCGACATGAAACAGCCGCGGTCGCTCACAAATTTGTATGGACCCCAGATGTCTGGGGGCTTCATCAGGTGCGGCCTCTCTGTGCATAAAAAGGGGGGCCTCTTGCTGGCCCCGCACAGAGCTTTCGCGGACCCGCGACTGCTCAGAAGCGAGTGCGTTTCCGCGATCCTTCCGTATGCTGCGGCCGCGGAATTGCGACCCCATGCTCTGCTCCTGGTTGTCGCGGTAACGCGAATTCCCAATTTTGTTTGCGCCGATTTGGGATCAGTCCTCATTGGTCCGCTCATGGTCTTTCAGGACTGACCCCTGTGGTCTCTCCTGCCCGAGCTGTATCTTCCAGCCTGTCGTTTCCCAGCACATCTTGGCGCTAGCTGGATGGGCTACGGAAACATGATCCCAGTTCCCCGCACCCCGTTTCTTATGCACTGCATCGGTGGTCGAAGTTTTCGATCACCGATTTTCGTTGCGTACTTCTAGAGATTGCGTTAGTTTAACTACAAGGTGGCGACGGCCAAACTTGGTCCACTGTGAGGGCGCGCCTCGAGGGCACCTATACCTTGCTCGGCCGTCGCTGCCGCTTTGACTCAAGACGTCGCCGCCCAACTTGCCAGCGTCGCCTGTGGCGCTTGATCTGAGGCGCCAGGTGCGAGAACAGGCTGTTCTCCCATCCCATCGCCACCGCTATGGCCCCTTCTAGTTTCACATCCTTTCCCCACATGCGACGACGACCCGATTTTCGACTTGCGGGGCCATCTTGAAGCCATTTTGGGAGTCTTGAAGCGATGTTTCGCCGATTCGGTGCCCTCTTGCACCGTCTCGGGCGCCTTCTCGGGGCCCTTTGGGCCCGTCTCGGGGCCCTTGGGCCCGAAAAATGCATGCGGGAAGTTGCCGGGGGCCCCAGGGGCCGCGCGACGCGCCCCCGAAGATTTGTAAGTTTGAAGCCCCGGCCCCTTCTCATGGAGCTCCAGGATTGAGGATTGAGGCCCAAGGGGGTCGAACAAGAGACCAGAGGACATTCCAATGCGCGCCTCGAGGGCGCGGCGGCGGATCTTGCCGTCGTCGTGGAAGCACGTTCGGCACCATTTTTCACGTTTTACGGATAGGTCCAAGGGTGCGCGCGATTGTCGCCGACGCGCGTGGTTCCTTGATTTCCATGCGCCGCGTTCACCAGCGATTGCCGCCGAGCGTAAGGAACAGTTTCTTGCGTCCAGAGTGCGTTGCAAAATTTCGCAAGCTATTGTAGCCTGCTGGACGCGGGCGACTGCCCCCCAAGATTCAGCTGAAGCGCCATGCCCAATTTACCATCTGATTGCCACTCACCGCCTCACATACCGCATACTGTGATTATATTGTTTAGTGCTTT